CCCCAAAACCCCAAAACCCCAAAACCCCAAAACCCCGAAACATTCAAAATAATAATATTTTAAATATGCTAGATTCCATTGTAAAAGCAGCTACTGAATTAAAGGATAAGGTTGGGAGTAAATCTGAGGTGAATAAGATCCTCACTGAGGCTACGAACAACGACAACTGGAATATCTCAAATTCCAAGCTCCAAATCCTGGCTGACCACACCTACGATTTCAATGATTACAACATAATCATGAAACACCTGTGGTCTAAGTTATCCTTGAAGCCAAAGGAATGGAAGAGAATATTCAAAGCCCTCAACGCCATGGATTACTTACTCAAAAACGGTGCTCCAAGGGTCGTCCAAGAGATCAGAGAGGACCTCTTTAAGATCAGAAGTCTCCAAGATATGGAATACCAACAACAAGGCAAGGATAAATGTGTCGGAATCCGAGAAAAAGCTAAGCAGATCTGTGAGCTCCTCGCTGATGAGGACCAACTCAATGAAGAAAGAGAATTCTCAAGGAAGAATCGTGACAAGTTCGCTTCTTATGGTAATACAGGCACTATGTCTTCAGCAGGTGGCATGGGTAGTTCTTCCAAGTACACTGGATTTGGCAGCCAAGATCTGAACAAGTACTCTGGAGGCTATGACATTCAAGGAGCTGGTTCCTCTGGGTATGACCCTTACCAAAGGAAAGGAGGCAGCGTCTTCGAGAACAAGTCTAAGCGCAAATCAGATGACAAGATCTGGAAGAAAAAGGATAAAAAGAAATCTGAGAAAGAAAAGAAAAATTCAAAGAAAGCAAAGAAGAGCAAGAAGAAGAAAAGTGAAAGTGAAAGCGAGAGCGAAGAGTCTTCAGACAGCTCAGATTCAGATGAGAGTTCTGACTCTTCAGATAATGAAAGCAGTGAGGATGAAAAGCCAAAGAAGAAGTCTAAGGGATTTGAGAAGCCTAAGAGAAGAGGAAAGAAAGAGAAATCTGAAGAAAAGGCAAAGAAAAAGAAGGTGAAAACTGCTGCTCCTCCCGTAGCACAAAAACCTAAAGAAGATTTGTTTGATCTTATTGATACTTCTCCTCAGACTCAGGCTCAGTCAGCCACTCAACCTACTAATGATGATGTTTTGGGAAGTGTTTTTACCCAACCACCTGCGCAGACAACTCCTGCTACACAAGGAGCCGATATGTTTGCAAATATGAATGTGGGAACTAGTGCTCCACCCCCTGCTACATCCCAGCTTCCTGCTGATAACTCATGGGCAGTTTGGGGGAGTGCTCCTGCTCAGCCTCAAGCTCAACCTCCTGCTCAACCTCCTGCTCAGCCTCCAGCTGAACCTCCCCAAGTCTCTGTTTCTTCTGGTCAAAATGTAGATAATATGACTGACTTGTTTGGAAATATGAATGTCAATCAGCCTACAGCTGCTCCTGTCCCAGCTCCAACACAAAATACAGGATTTGATATGTTCACAGGAATGAACACAGGGCCATCAGCACCTCCTCAGCCAGAGGTTGCACAAACCACAGGAATTGAAGGTTTTGGTGGATTCCAGGACAGTGCACCAGTCCCAGCACAAGCTCCACCTCCAAAGAAAAGTGATGCTTGGGAAATGGGAGGAGGATTATTTAACCTCTCAGGATTAAAGAAAGATTCTGAAAGAGCAGACAAACTTTCTTCTCAAACTCATAAGCCTCAAGCCCCACAAGAACCTAATATGCTTTATACAAATAAAGCTGATCTAAATAGTAATGATATTTGGGGAAGCGCATTTGGCGGACAATCGAGTCAGCCTTCTGGATATGGATCTGGACCTATGCCATCAACAAACTTCGGAGGATCAAGTTATCCAGGGTATAATCAACCATCATCTGGATACCCTAGTGCTGCTCCTCATGCATACGGAGGTAGTGGAACTGGAGGATTCCCTCAAGCTCCTGCTTCCTCAGGATTCCCAAGTTCAGGATTTCCCTCTACGCAGCCTCAAAATACCTTCGGAGGGGCTGGTTTTCCTTCTCAAAACACTCAAGGTAGCTCTTTCACTGGATTCCCTAATACCAATGCAGGTTTCCCTTCATCCCAACCCGGAGGTTTCCCAGGATCTTCCAAAGGATTCTAAATCCTTATGATAACTCATATCATTCCATAACTAAGCAAAAAAGTAAATCCAAAAATCTGATCAATCTGCAAATTTTGAGAAGGGGTTTTGGGGTTTTGGGGTTTTGGGGTTTTGGGG